AAAAAAAAAAAAAAAAAGAAGCAGTATGAAAATTATCACATAATTATCCTCCTTAGATAAATTTTTACCTATTAAATTACATCTATAGTTATATTTCACAAGATAAAAACTATTATGTCTGTCACTTAGATAAAAGATATTTACAACATGATCAGAATCACATAGTCAGAATAGGTATTCCATTATTAATGCTGAATACTGAAAAGGTTTATAAATTTTACTAGAGTCCCAGAAGTTCAATATTCGAAAATATGCACGTTGGAGTTAAGAAACAAACACATAGAAAGATGCTTAAATGCATGTGTTATTTGGCAGCTTTTAAAAGGACTTTAGCAGCATTTCATAACACTTCTTATAAGAGCAAATATTGTACTATATTGATATCTTACATTTATCAAGTTGGGAGGTGGGTTAAGAACTGAAACCCAGGCCTTTTCATCCTTATCTCAATGCTAATCCCTCTGGAATTCAATTGGTTTAAAATGAAACATATTATATAGTAAGTCCTCACTTAGCATCATCAATAAATAGGTTATTGGAAACCTGAAACTTTAACAAAATGACATATAATGAAACCAACTGTACCACAGGCTAATTGACATAAACAAAAGTTAAGCTCTTATGGCATATTTCTGGTGACAAAAACATCTCCAAACTTCTAAATGTAAGCCCAAAACACTTCTAATAGTAAACACTGAACTAAAAGTAAGCTGTACATATTTTTTAAAAAGACTAATAGAAGCAAGTCATATACTTAATTACCCAATTTTTGGTGAACCAGTGCTTGGTGACGGCCATAGTGGTGGTGAGATAAATCAAGGAATAAATGTTTGCCAAGGAAAAGTTGTAAAGAGCAGCTCCTATTCCAACCAAGTAAAAAATAATAACACGCGATGGGCTTATTGAGCATTTTCATACAGTGTCATGTATTGTCATAAATGATGATGACAATGTATGATCACATATTTTTATGATTTATGATGTATTTGAAAAATTTCTATTTTACGATAGTTTGGATCTACTCATTCAGAGTCTCATATGGCTACAGCCTATCCCACAGCTCAGGGTACAATGTGGGCCCCAACTCTGGACATAAATGACATAATTTGAAGGACTGCTGTATTTCATCCCATTGCAAGGTTCACACACACACACACACACACACAAACTCTCACTCAGAGGGGATGCCAATTTCGTCTGCCAATTAACCAAATATGCACATTTTGGCACGTGGGAGAAAACCTAGGTACCCAGAGAAAATTTACACACTCACACAGACATGAGGAAAATATGCAAACCCCACACAGGTAGTGGAAGGAAAAAATTTTTTTCTTATCAATTTTATAACAAAATGGTGTTGAATTAAATGACATAACTTGAGGACCTGCTGTATTCCACATTTTAATTAGAAACCACAGAATCATGAGTGACTATTCTTTTTCAAATTGTCTCTAATCTGCTTCTTTTTCAATTCCTCAACATCTCACATGTCTGTCCTGCTATTCTCTGTTAGAAAGCCTGAATTAAAGGTCTCCTTGTGCTTGAAGACCACTCACCCTCCACTCCCTTCCTATGAACCTCCTGCTGCAACACTGTCAGAGTGAACTTTCTAAAACGCAGTTCTGATAGTGGCATTCTTAGGATTGGAAACATCTGATAGCTAGCTACTGCCAACAGGTGGTGATTCTTAAACTATGTACCTGGAGGTTTCTGTTGCACTAAGAATTGGCCAAAGGAATTTAGGGTAGCTAAAATCAAATACCTTGTAATGTCAATCAGGTTAATCAGAGGAACAAGAAAAGTTAAGATAGACAGTTGTAATTTTTTCCCCATATCTTTTTATTAAATATTTCAGATTTGTTACTGTTTGTCTACTAAACAGACCTAACAGATAAAAATAACAAAACAAAAACCAATATTAATTCTGAGTGAACTAGGCTTAATTCAACAATTAGTTATTTTTGAGAGGCAGTAGAATACAAACTAAGGATTTTTATCTCATATCATATATGGGTCATTTTTTTCCAGTTCGTATGATAGTTAAATTATGCTTTAAAAACCTAGAAATTAACAACTTCTACATTCTCTGCTTCTGAAACTATTTACATATTACCCTTCCGTGCTGCTGTTGGCAACTTACATCACCTCTTTATAGTTCAAATGTATAACCATTCACTGAGACACCTATCCTATTTTAATTTACTTTTTATTAAACATCTGTCTTCCAAATCAGTGAATTTGCTATGGGCAGAAGCAATACACTATTTACCTTTAAATCACAAGGGCTTGACACATAGTAGGCACTCTTCAAAAATGCACGAGACCCAGTAAGTTCAACTGTCTGAGAACGAGACTGCCAACTATTTATTATAGTGGTAGAGTTTCATAACTTCAGAGCAAAGTCTATAAAATTTCCAGTGTAATATATAACACGATATAAAAATAAAATAAAATAGTTCTACAGTTATTTTTAATTCATGCTTTATAATACAGCAGGTAAGATAATAAATTGAATACAACAAAATACAGGAATTTTCTTAAAAACATGTGGTACTCAGGGCATCAAAGTTAAATTAAGGATTCAGTCTATCTTATAGAATTGAATTATAATTATAAGGAATTTTTAATTCTGTGAACATGAACTGGATAATAAATATTAAATTGTCTTATGCCTCCCATATTAAAAGGTTGCATTCATTTAGCTGAATGAACCCAACTCAGTCTCTATAAATGTTAGGGCTTAAACATAAAGGTTAAAAAACAGCAAAAAAACCAATAGCTGCAATCATTACTTCAAACCAGTAGCTGCAATCATTACTTCATTGTTGCAAGTAAAATTTTACAAAAAGAAAAGTCAGCTGGAATAGTTTTCACAATAAAAAGTGCAACTATGAAACTATGCCAGCAGGTTTTTCTTCAAGTATAAAGGTATTTTCTATGTTAGAAATAGATTCAAAGCTTTACAAAGCTTTAATCTATTATATAATGGTATTCTCATACTGTTTGGTTTGTTTTTTGAAGTTTTGAGCCCACCAGATATTCTCTATCCACTTAACCACTATCATTGCAGGGATACAGTTCATGGATACAAAATACACAGTCCAAGGAGCCAGAGACATACTTAATGTGTGCTAAGGCTTATGCTTTAAATTTCTATTAAATATCTTACTCATCTCAGATTGATTAAGGCCTGTGACCTATGGACCAGCGGTAATGGTTGCTTTGAAAGCCAGCATTTAAGATGAAATCTGAATAGAGCATATGCAAGGAACAAAACCATCTGAACTACTTACGGCCAGCAAGCAGGAACTGATAATACTGAACGGCATCTGCAGCGAGGAGCAGAGGGTGGTTTGCATTAAATGGTGGCTGCAACTCATTCCATTGAGGGGTTCTAAGGAAACAGTAGAAGAATATTAATATTTAAGTTAATAGATGGGATATAAATCACCATGACTGTCATCACTGATGAACGCTGATTTAAACTCACACTGTTTTTGTGATCATTAAAATGAACTTGTAATCATTAAAATGAATGCATTGAAACCTGAAACACAGGCCATCTGCTTAAAAAGAACAAAAAGGTGGCAGTGTTTCACACAAGTAAGATGGAGTCAATATTAGCTTAGGAGCCGAAGGATTTCCAACAGAACAGACAAGACATTCAGAAGATTAAGTAGAGAGACCTGTAAAATTCAAATGTTACAACTAAGTAGTTCCAATAATATGTATTTTCTAACCTCTTTATTCTTAAAATATATGTATTTTTAAAATAAAATGAAACAGGTAAAAACAGTTGAAACAGCTCAGTAACTGGATGACTTATGGATCAAATTAGCATCTGATTTTCAAAGCAAGTCACTATTTCAACAATGATTGCACAGTAATTTTAATTAGATCTGCTCACTCTTAAATATGTCTGATAAATAGGATATTGATCAGATCAACCCAGCACAGTAAAGTACTAGTGAAGAATGCTGGAGCCTCCAAAAAATCAATGTAAGAATATTTTAAAATGTCAAAAGGACAGGGATCATTTTCATATCCATTTTTGTCTGTTTCCTTCCATACATGTCAGGAGCAATTTTTTCTCTCCTGACAACTATATATTAAGCAGGTTTTATTCCAGGTTTCATTTATTCATCTTTGTGCTAGCTGATAAAGAATTTAATCATTATGCATTTTTAAGATGAACTCTGATTCTTTAATAAACATTTCTATGATGCTTGCCCACTGTATCTTGGGGAGTCACTTTAAAGGAAACCTTCAAACCTCTTTATATTAGTTTCTATGCCCCCTCCTCCATTAATGGCTGTCTAAAGCTACTCTCTATTTTCAGTGAGCATGAGACTGCAAATAGGGGAACACAAAGGTACAAGGAGAAATGCGTTCACAGAGGTATTCTCCAAGGGATACGCCCAAGGCAATTGAAAATGTACATCCATACACAAATCTGTACATAAATGCTAATAGTAGCTAAAAAGTAGGATTGTTCATCAACTAATAAATGGACAAACAAAATGTGAATAAACATATAATGGAACGCTATATGGCATAAAAGGGAGTGAGGTTCTGATACATGCTACAACAGGGATAGACCTTAAAAACAGGCTAAGCGAAAGAGGCCAGACTCAAAGGTCATATGTACAGGATTCTTCGCATGAAATGACCACAGTAGGCAAATCCACAGAGACAGGAAGTAGATTCCTGGTTGCCAAGGGCTGAAAGGCTTGGAGAAAATGGGGAGGGACAGTTAATGGGTATGGAGTTTCTTCCCAGAGTAATGAAATTGATTGTACTGGTGGGTATACAACTTTATGAAAAGTCACTTTCAATGGGTAAATTTTATTATACCAAATGAAAAAGTAATGAACTATTGTAATTTGGCTAGATGAAAGAAGTTAATCCAAAAAACAAAAAAAGTACATTCTGTGTGATTCCATTTATATAAAATCCTAAGAACTATAAATTAATCTGTGGAGACAAAAGGAGAGATTCCAAAGGGGCGCAGAGAAACCTTCGGGAGTGATGGATATGTTTACCATGTTAATTGTGGGAAGATTTCACAGCTGTAGACATTTCAAAACTTATCAAACGGCAGACTTTTAATCTTTCATACGTCAATAAAGCTCTTAAAAGGAGAAGAGAAGAAAGGAGATAGTACCTAACCAGCGTCCAGCTGGCGCGAGGTGACGTCATCATTTCCAGTGGCGTGTCATCACTAATCTTGGGGGCAGTGCTGAGGGGCCGGGGCTCCATCATGTGCTCCACTAAGGTCCCATAGCAACTGATAATGTACAGGGACTCAACTACAACTTGTTTCGATTGGTCTACAAACAGAGAAACAGAATCTGGATGTGTGATAATGGCATAAAAGAACACAGCATTATTTTTACAAGTAATTGTTTATCTATTCTCCTGAAGCTGATCAGAGAAAATGAAAAGACAGGAATTTTTTTCATAATGCCCCTTACCCAAAGCTCGCCTCTTATAAGTAAATGCTAACGAATAAGAAAATCCCTAGGCTATTAAATATTTTCAAATCTTAAGCAATTTATTTCAAGAGTGATATAGTTCTAGCCAAAATTTTAATAGAGTGAAATAACATTTTACAGTCATTTATATTTTCTACCATGCAATTTGTCCTACATTACGGTAAATAAATGATAGCAGGTAAGACTGACCGAAAAAGGCATCATATATTATCTACGTAGGATGTACCAAGTGAACTGCATGAAACGCTGGTTGTATGCCTCAATCAGCCTATGTCACATCCGCTTTCTGCCAGAAAACTTACATTTAAAACTTAAATTTCTGGATCAAAACTAATAAAAAAACACATGATGTGTCAATGTAAGTTTATCAGTTGAAACATATACTGTATACCGCTGGGGTGGGGGGTGTTGATAATGGAGAAGGATTTGCATGTCTGCAGATAGGAGGAATATGGGAAATCTTGGTACCTTCTACTCAATTTGGCTGTGACTCTAAAAAGTAATAAAAGTCTATTTTGTGCGTGTACACACACCCACACACACACACACACGCCAGCTTCCCATCCTCCCCCAAATCCTGTTACTTTTCTCTCAATGGGATCACTAGCCCTTCTGTGGTAAATGAAGATTAGCCATACTTTGAGAAGTCAGGTGCTGAATATGTATCTAAATCAACTGACTTTATAAGAAATACACATGTACTCACTACCAGAACAGGCTGAGTCCTCTATCTCAGGTTTTACACTAAACCTAGGAGCATAAAAATCACTCATGAATGCTGGGTGGGTCACCTTATCTCTATGTCAGACGAATCAATTACAGCTGATTTGAGAAAATGGCTAATGACCAGCCAGTGGGACATAAAGAAGGAGCAAGTTAAAAGGGTAATTAGAACAGAAGGGAGAAGCATTTGAAATAGAGCTTCACAGAAGGTTTTAACTAGTAACAAAAAGTCCTTTCGATAGCATCATTAAACGTAAGGAGGTAACAAAAAAATAAAGATGGGATAAGGAAATGGAAGCCTCGCATACTTCACAGTATTCTCTCCCACTTAGGTAAGGAACCGGCTGTGCCTGAGATCCTGTTACCAGGGAAAGGGTCACTGAAAGCTGATAACGCGGGAAAGGGCTGATGTCTGACTGCCAGTGTTACACATAAAGAAGAGCCATTTTGCCAAAACAATACAGCCTGTGGAGCTCACCAGAGAAGTGCCCCAGGAACACCCCAGTTTGTGACCTACTTTAATAATTACTAAAATAATAAGGGGAAAATCACAACTTGTTCAAAATTATAAACTTGGTTTATAAATGGAGGCATTCTCTTTTATACAGAGACCATAAGGGATCACATCACAAACTAGACCATCAATCACATAAACATTTTAGGCATGTGGGGGGTTTTTTTGTTTGTTTTGTTTTTTGTTTTTGTTATTTGAGACTGAGTTTCTCTCTGTCACCCAGGATAGAGGCATCATCATAGCTCATAGCAATTTCAAATGCCTGGCTCCAGCAATCTGCCTACCTCAGCCTCCTGAGTAGCTGGGACTACAAGCAAGTGCCACAACTTTTCTATTTTTAGTGAAGGCAGGGTCTCACCCATGCTCAGGCTAGTCTCAAAATACTGTGCTCAAGCCATCCTCCCAACTCAGCCTCCCTGAGTGCTAGGATTACAGGTGTGAAGCACTTTGTCCAGCCTACATTTTAGGTATTGATCCTAGTGATCAAAGCAAAAATTAAAAATATAACTACAGTAGTCTCCTGCTACATGCATTTCAGTTTCAGTTACCTGGTCAACCTGAGTCTAAAATTATTAAATAGAAAATCCTAGAAATAAACAACTCATAAGCTTCAAATTGTACACTGAGTAGCATGATGAAATTTCACTCTGTCTCATCCTGTCCCACTCGGGACAGAAATCATTCCTTTGGTCAGTGTAACAACACTGCATATGCTACCAGTTGACTAGTTACTTATTAAACCTCTTGGTTATCAGATTGGAAAAACACAGTACTATACAGGGTTCACTACTATGTGAGGTTTCCAGTATCTATTGGGGGGATGGGATATATCCCCCAAGGACAAGGAGAGACTATTGTATATCATTTCAAGGGAGCAATAGTGACCACAAAAGCTGACCCTTATTCCTCAGTGGCAGGCTGTTTTTTATCATGTTTTTAAAACATGGCAGAGTCACTGGTTTTTGTTTATTTGGTTTTTTTTTTTTTTTTTCAGTTTTTGGCAAGGGCTGGGTTTGAACCCACCACCTCCAGTATATGGGGCCAGTGCCCTACTCCTTTGAGCCATAGGCGCTACCCAGTCACTAGTATTTTTTAAAGTCAAGATTTAACAGTAGAAAGTCTGGTTTCTTTTCTTTTCTTTCTTTCTTTTTTTTTTTTTTTTTGAGACAGAGCCTCAAGCTGTCACCCTGAGTAGAGTACTATGCCATCATAGCTCACAGCAACTTCCAACTCCAGGGCTTAAGCGATTCTCCTGCCTCCACCTCCCCAGTAGCTGGGACTACAGGCACTTCCACAACGCCCAGTTATTTTTTGGTTGCAGCCATTATTGTCGGGCCCAGGCTGGACTCCACCCGCCAGCTCAGGTGTATGTGGGTGGCGCTTTAGCCGCTCCAGCCACAGGTGCCGAGCCGAAAGTCTGATTTCAAACTCTGATTCCATAATATACTAACTAGTGCTTCTACCTAAGGTATTTAAATTTCTGATCTCAAGTTCACCTCTAAAACAGAAATTATAAGGCTTTCCCTCTCCCATATTATAGATGGTGGTATGAAATTAGCTTGTAAAAATATAAAAGTTATAAAATGGGTATGGAATTGACAGCATTGATATCATTTGCAGACTGTTACCAAACAAAACAAAACAGAATCACTCAACGTGCAATTCATTCCACGTTTATAGAGAGAGGACAGTTTTTCTTCTTGATGAGGCTTCAGTAGTTGAGGACAGACATGCTAATAAAGTGGAAAAACCGGTGTCTACACACTGGGTCTAAGATTATTCTAGGAGAACTGTCATCAATTTTTTTTAAGAATCAAAAATTACACATGGAAAGTTTGAGCACCAGTAAAAATACATACCTTTTTCTCTTTTCAGACCTGCATTATTTGCAAACCATGACCTGGATGTCCCAAAAATAGCAGCCACGCAAAACTCTCCGCCCATTGATTTGCTGGGTGAAATTTGTGGAGGAGGTTTAACTTTGCTTAAAAAATAAAATGACAGTAAAAAAAAATTATCATAATGAAATGACAGTCCTCGAATGACAGATTTTCCTTTAAACTCTACCCCAAATTATTCAAAGCTTCCTATATGAACATGCATTTTGCCTTAAGTAATAACTGGCAATGTAAGACTATCTTTTGGAATAAAAATAAAATTAGTTCAAAGTTCCAGAGTTTTGTCAAGATTGTAGCTTATAAAGACCAATAGAAACTAACTCCTTTTAAAAGTATATGCTGGCAAAATTGATTCACTTCTTTTCAGATGAATTAACATTTTCCTGGAGATCATAAAGTGGAACAATAGTACTAACATAGACATCTCACAATAATAAAATAAATTATCATTTCATTTTGATAATATACAGTGTGAGATTAATAATACAAATGAATGGAGACAGCATGTAAGAAATGAGATTATATAAAATGAAACCTTGACAATGTTCTCAGCCTTAAAGCTATGGAGAATTAAACAATGTATAGGAAGAATAATGATCTATTGCAATTATAGTCACTGATCTTCCTATTGGTTGTTTCTTTTTCCTCTTGGGTTTGTGAAAATGTTTTTGCTCAGGGAAAAAAAGGCCAAGGCAGAGTTAAGTATCCACAGCCTCTCAAGTATAAATCTTTTCTGTTTCTTATATGTCTGAGAACCTACTTAGAAATGGCTGTTACGGCATATATAACTACCACTAAAAAGAAATTGCTTTCTTCTTTGTTGTCTACAAATAAGCTTTCATACTCTCAACTGCTAACATCATCTTTCATGTTCTTTCCAATCTTGTATTTCTGTTCTCTTTTGGTGTATCAAGGACTTCCCCCTCACTAGCAATTTTGCCAATCGCTTTTGATAAACTATTTTCTATAATTCATAGACCAGAAAATAACCTCACTGTGTACTGATCAAGATCATAGCCCAGGTGATACACAATAAAAACTAGAGCGCTAATGCTCCCCTCTGCTAGTCAATCTTCAATGTCAAGCAACATTATTTCTACCTTATTTTCCTATTTTGCTTCATCTGTTTATCTTTTAGTAAAGTGTGGGCAGATAGAAAGGGATAATTTTGTAGTCACAAAGAAACATGAATTTGAATGCCAGTGCTGCCACTATTAGCTGTTAGACTTTTGGTTGAGTTATTTGACCTCTCAGAGTTCATACTACTAATACATAAAACAAATACAGTAATGCCTACCTCAATGGGTTATTTTAAGGATAATATTTTTTCTCAAAGTGTAGTCTCTAGCTAATAGTACCACGTGGGAAATTTGTAAAAATCCAAGCAAATACTAATCAGGCACCATCCCAGACCTATTAAATCAGAAACTCTGGTACTGGAGCCCACCAATTTGTGTTTTGTAACAAATGCTCCAGGAGGTTCTAAGGCTCAACTTTGAGAACCTCAGTATTAGGCAAAGCAAGTAAGACTCCTGACTTGGTGCCCGTAGCACAGTGGTTACAGCGCCGGACACATACACCAAGGGCGGAGCACCGAGGGCGGAGCATCAAGGGTGGAGTGTTCGAGCCTGGCCTGGGCCAGCTAAACAACTGCGACAAAAAAATCGCCAGGCGTTTTGGCAGGTGCCTGTAGAACCAGATACTTGGGAGGCTGAAGCAAAAGAATCACTTGAGCCCAAGAGTTTGAGGTTGCTGTGAGCTGTGATGCCCCAGCACTCTACCAGTGGGGGGTGGGGAGGAACATAGTGAGACTCTGTCTCAAAAAAAAAAAAAAAAAAAGAAAAGCAAGTAAGATTCCCCCATCAGTCCTTTACCATGTTATAGTATGTTAACTCTCCTGCATAGCCCAGAGCCCTCAGCCAATTTCCAGAAAAAGTGAGGCTTTGCTTTAATAATCTGTTTCCGGCTCGGCACCTGTGTGGCTCAAGTGGCTAAGGTGCCAGCCACATAACACCTAAGGTGGCAGGTTTGAATCCAGCCCAGACCCGCCAAACAACGATGGCTGCAACCAAAAAATAGCCGGGCGTTGTGGCGGGCGCCTGTGGTCCCAGCTACTTAGGAGGCGGAGGCAGCAGACTCGCTTGAGACCAGGAGTTGGAGGTTGCTGTGAGCTGTGATGCCACAGCACTCTACCCAAGGGGACAGCTTGAGGCTCTGTCTCAAAAAAAAAAAATCTGTTTCCCAGTTTTTTCAAAACTTTAAGAGTTCCTCAGATATCTTATTTTCTGAGACTTCTGTTTTAACATCTTCCCTCTAAGGAAAGCTAAAGTCTGGATGAGAGACAACCATTCCTGGCCCCTTTGGTTGACCCCTTGTAACAAAATGTGTGGTAATGCACATTTCTACACATGAAAAGAAAAAAATACTTTTCTTTCCATCATTAACATTTCTTAAGCACTTCATTTTGTTCCCCAAACAAACAACATCCGTGCCTAAAATTCAACACAAGTCTTAGTCCGACTTGCAGTGACAGGGAATTAAAGATATGGCTTGCTTTTTCTTTAAACAAATTTTCCGTGAGGAAATGAATCTGGTTCTACAGTTTCACTTCTTCATAGTTGCATCTGTCACAACTGTAACAACCCACTTCCAGAGAAGAAGACTCTCCTTTGTCCCACACCTGAACAAACACGTACCTTCCCTTCATATCTGGGTCACTGGCGTCAGAATTGTTCTTTCTGTTTATGATGCTTTCTGTTGTGTTACCTTGGAAAGCTATTCTTTCCATCACTGAACTACTATCATTGAACTGACAAGTTCCTACAACTGGTATCTTGGAAGTACTAGAGGTCATTTTTAACCCTGTAGGGATTCTGAGAGGCTGGTAGTGAGGAGGAGGAGGAGATAAAAACTATTCTAGAATTTCGTTGAAAGCAGTTTGCAGTTGTGTGACTATGAGCTTTTACTAGAATCACCACTAGGGAACAATGATACTACAGGGTACCAATAAGCTTCACAGGGACAAACTCAAAGCTGTTCACAAATTAGTGGATGTGATTTTTGTTGTTGTTTTTAAATCATGTGGTAAAAAGTTAAGTATGCCACTTCTTAAGGGAAAATATGGTTCCTCTAAAGCAGCCGTTCTCAACCTGTGGGTCGCGACCCCTTTGTAACAATGAAAATACATCTGGCATATCAGATATTTATATTACGATTCATAACAGAAGCAAAATTACAGTTATGAAGTAGCAATAAAAATAATTTTATGCTTGGGGGTCACCACAACATGAGGAACTGTATTAAAGGCTCACGGCATTAGGAAGGCTGAGAACCACTACCTGAAGTGTGCACCCTAAACTGACTTAAAAATAAGTGCTTCTAGGTCACATGGCCATTTTTATCACAAAGAGTAGAAAAATAATAGGTCATCAGTTTAGTCTTTGGACATACAAAAATATATGGTTTGTTCACTAGCTGACCGTCTGATTAGCCCATGCCAAAAGCTAAAATCTCTTGCATAGATAGGAGTTACACCAATTCAATTTTGAACACACAGGTAAAAAGTGTCAGCACAGTGTCATTTGAAATAAGCTCATTATCTCCTACAGACAGTAAGTATTTTATGGTAAGAGTATGCTTAATGTATGTGAAGGATTATCATTTTATTATTACACCCCAACATTTCTTCTTTTTCCTCTGATAGGGCCTTGATAAATGCCATTAGTAACAGATTGTGTTTAGTAAGGAATCAAAAGAGTTTTCATCCTGAAAGTAATCTGCCACCTGCTACATGACATAGTGTTGCATGTTGGCGAAACACATTCATATTAAGTCAAGTGTATTATCAATTTACGTTTGGAATGACTATGGCATTCAAACAAAATGGAAATGTAAAAAATATATGCGTGTGTGTAAGCCTGGCAGAAGAATAAAAAAGAAAAAAGAATCTAATTAAAGGAATGTTATTAATAAAATATTTTCTGTGTGATACAGCCAAAGTTTGAAATTTTACCTTTAGCTCAATTTGCCCTTCATCCTAAGTTTTAAAAAAGACCAAATCCAGGAAATCTTGGTATAAGTGGAATGGTTTTTCTTTTCTACTAAAGTGTGTCAGCAACATATCGTGTATGAGCTTTTCCACAATGATCCAGAATATTTCTATTTCTACAAAACAGCCTTTTCTTGACAGAGAGATAAAATACTAGAAATGATACACATACACATGGAATAAAATAGTGCTAGCAGTATAGGGTAAATCAGGTACAGTTATAGATCAGTGTCCCGATCCTTACAAGGAGAGCTCTTTGACACTAAAATTTTTTTCTTTCTTATTCTCAATTATCTCAATTTCTCCTCTAAAACTGGTCTTTAAAAATCTCATTAGAGAACATTTACAAGTATAAAAAAGAATTCCTCCATAGCACAACAAAGTAACTATAGTCAAGTTATGGTATACTTTAAAATAACTAAAAGAGTAGGTGGAACTGGAATGTTCCAAACACAAAGAAATGACAAATGCTTGCGGTGAATACTCCAATTACTCTGATTTGATATACATTATATGCCTATATCAAATAAATAACCTATGCCCTATAAAAACAACTATTATATACCCATAATAATTTTTTTAAAAATTACTCTGGGTGTTTGGATATCTTCTCTCATTCATTTCTTAAGTTAATACAAAGATAAGAAAAAATATTCACTTTGTATTGGTGTCCAGAAGTTTAACTGCATTAACTGTGTAGACTTATTCAGTTCTTGCAGTGCAGAAGAATAAAACATCCTGAGAGTTCTAAGGGACCTCCTGCACCTGATTATCACCTCCTGCTCCTGTACTCTCCTTAACTTGTCATAACTCCTGGTTCAACAATTTCTTTTAAAATTTTGGCTTACCTTTTGAGCAAAACATAAAAAAAAAATGAAACAAATGGAACTTTTACCATGTCTGGTAAAACTATGATCATAAAACCTCATAGTGAGTAAGCTGGATACAAAGGAACATAATTTTTAAAAAATACCTACAAGCCAGCAAAAGAACAAAACAAACAAGGTGCTAAAGGTAAAAATCAGGGGTTTATAATTCTTTGTCATGGCTTCCAAGGAAATGCTTAACCATCCACCCCCAATAAGAATCATTTTCACTGCTATCAGAAGTTGTAGGGATAAGAACATTACTAGACCCTCCAAAAACATTTACACAGGCTATTCAAGGTCCCCATTTTTCTTCCATTGGCCTTTATTATGAAATCCAATCAGATCAACATATTGACTTTCTCTTGACTATTCTTTCCCTACACACAATTGCAAACAGAAAAAAGAAATACAAATCTCTAATAATGTCTGCTAAAAATGTATAGGGCAGTGTTCTCCCTCTGGATAATTTTGCTATGTATCATAGAATAGGGATATATCTGGTTATCCATGGATGGCATGATAAGCAGCAATGTGGTCCAGTGCCTTGACAGAAAGGGCGCAAGCATGGAAGAAGCTACCAGGAGATAGAAGCACCATTTCTTTCCTTTTATAAATCATAAAAGAACTGCAATATTTGAATTTAAATGTAAGAGAAAATACTGACCGAAGAATTTATAAGTGGTATAATGGCTTCCTGTTAAAGAAAAAAAATTTTCTTAGAAGTTTTCTCTCCTTCCTCACTTTATTTTCTAAAATGGACCCTAAGAGGGGACACTGAAAATATTTTATTTTAAATAACTAAAGATATAAAATTGTTCTATTCTGCCATAAATTATTTTTAAAAGTCTAAAAGATTTATCTAAATGTGGTAGGTAAGAAAAAAATTCTCCTGTTTAGATAAATTTTACCTTTTGAAAAATGAAATAACAAAATTTTTAAATATTCTCAAGCGAAGGAAATTAATTTAAATGAACTACAGGTGGTTACAAAAGATTCCATACGTAGAAAAGATCAACAAGCTTACATAGCAAAATATCTTGGAACACCTTTAGCATGAGTAAGAGAAAGACTTCATGTTTGTGTGTAGAAAGGGTGGCAACACACAGAAAATATTCTGTAAAATTTTGTAATGAATATTTTGTAAGTAAAGGTACATTTAGCTATGATTTCCCATTTTCCCTATGTATGGTAACTTTTATATTGATCAAATACTCTTAAAGAATGCCAATCAAAATTTTAAAATGTAATTTGGTATGGAAATTTCATCTTCTTTAAATGTAACCTTATACACATGACACAAAGGTATTTTTATGAATAAGTGATGTATTCGTATGAACTACCCATTGTCCATGTGTTATGCATGTATTTTGATAAGCAATTAAAAAATAACAGTAGTTTGAATACAATATTCATGTACATTAGGAGCTAAGTAAATTCTTATTACTAATATGTAATTGAATTTTAAAAATTCGGACTGGAATTATTTCTCTTAAATTTCTATGTTTAAAAATGCATGCTACGTGTGTAATGCTTTCATATTATTTTATATGGTCATTCAACTCAAATATCCTAGTTAACCTAGACGATACATAATGCTGGGGAAGTCTAAAGTGAATAAAATGTTGAACACAGCCTCCTTTCCAACGAGCTTATTTGGCTATCAAAGGAAAGGTCCTTATTTTAAAACGGACTCATCTTAAAGTACATGAAATAAAACAAGTTCAATAAAGAATTAGCAGAAATTGTAATACATTAAAAGCAAATTCTTAGTTACGTCTTGTACTTGAAAATAATAAAACAAAATTGTAGGAAATTTATACTTCGTGTTAAGAGGAATTATAAAAACGTTATTGTCATCCGAAATACATATATTACCCTACAACTGGAAATGCTGTGTACATGTTTATTTAGCATAATGTTTTATTTCAGAATAGTAAATAAAAACCGTTCTCTGGTTGAATGCTAAATACTAAAAAAACAGCAAAACTATTTAAAACAAAGGAGTTCTTAGAAACAACATGGAAGAAGTTGTCAAATTTATATTCATTTTGCTGCCTTAATTTGAGGTTTCATTAAGATCTTAATGGAAAAAACATGCACCACTGGTAAAGGAACATTTTAAAGGAGGGCCTTTTAGTCTAGTATAAGTGACTAAAAACGAGTTTCTTGTGAGCTAACGATGGCATCAAACAAACCACAAAGCAGTCTTCTAAAAGACAGGCAATGATTTAAAAGTCTACTATATTTCATATATCCCTTTCTTTAATCTGGCTCTTTTAATCTTGTTTCAACCTCAAATCATTTCTGGTTGACAAGTGCTTTTGCTTAAATGTGAGGAGCACATAAGCTGTTGAAGGAATGAACTTTTCTTATTTAACATACAACAGTTGGGACTCCATCTTCAGGCAGAAACTTCAATCTTTATTAACATACTAAAACTCTTTTCTTTTCAGATTGAGGAATTTATCCCAAAACGGAATTTAATGCCAAATTTAGACTACAAAGAAGTTTTGTTATATGTTGAATGTGGCATTAAAAATTCATCACCTACTGTCAGCTCCTAAGATTCACATATTTTATTTGTTTTAAAAAGATCTCTGGTCAACAAAATTAACAAAAATTGACTTTCATGAGATTTATATTCATGTACACCTTGAATTTGTTTAAAATAGTTTCTCAAACTGTGTCCTAATTATAACATGGCACTTCGAGGAGGAAAATTTTATGCTGATTTGGTTTATATTGCTTATTCTTAAATGGTAATGAAATTTTCAGATGTTCCTGTGGCATGTGATCACTGAAATTAGTTTGCGTCGAATAAAATTCGTCAATCTTAAACAACTATTTAAAGATCCTTTTATCCAAGAGAAAAAAGTTTGGGATGTTCATTGTAGCATAACAGAACAGTGTGAACAATTCCCAGGAGCAGTTATGAGAACTACATGTATGTGCAGAACTCGTTTAGATATTCTGACTACATTGACAAAACTGATTGCCTTTCATGTCTCAAAACTTCCCTTTGGCTAACATGCTCTTATAAAAGCAGATCTAATTTAGAAGAGCTTCTTTTCAAACATGATATGTCCCCCTGAAACTGGAAAATAAACAGTACTAACAGCAGCTGATATTTATTGAGCACTGATTATGTGCCAGGCACTGTGACATACTAAGACATACTGAGGGGTGTGTGTGTGTGGTGCGTGTATATATATATCTGAGTTCATTTAACCCTCATAATGAACTCATGAGGTAGTTGCCTTTAATAGAGTAAAAAGAAAAAAGAAACAGGCTTTAGAAAATTTCCCCAATTTTATATTGCTAGTAAAAGCGTGAGTTGGGATTTAAGATCCAGGCAGTATGATTCTGGAGCCTCAGCTCTTAATTGTGAAACATTTTATACCAGATTCATTCTACTTTACATCTTTACATGAAACTATGAAGTACACTCTATTTCTTTTCTATGATCATGATGCTTAAGATTGACAAAATTATATCTTATACACTGTTTTAAAATAATTTACTAGATATTTAAGTTACAGTGAGTAAATGCTAAAAATTCAAAATAATAAATTAAGGAATTTTATGTGAAACTTCATCATCACATAGCTCCTTATATACTTGAAAGCTATTCAAAACAGAAGTAACTGTTTTCCTGTTAGGACCAAATAAAATGCAGTAAAACTTTATGGGGCATTTTTGTTATACCTTAAATATATTTATATTTCAAATTAAATCATGTCTTCAAACATTATGTACGACACATAGGGAACGCCTATCACTATAATACTCAAAGCTTTAATCATGGGTGTTAGCCGTGTTGTAATATCCACAAGCATTAAGAGAGAATTCTTCTATTTTCTTTTTTAAAAACATCTTTTTTTTCCTTTTTTGACTTTTCAAGGAATGAAATAAAACAAGAAACTGCTTTTTTTAAAGCTTAATTATCAACATTCATGTTCCACCTCCAAATTATTCAGTAATTTGGTGCATCTATCTGTGATCAGGCCATGCAACTGAAAACAAAACTACAAAACAAAGTTACTTTTTGAGAGTACAGCAAATGAATTAGGCATGCGGGACTGAACTGGAACTCACCATGGAGCTTTTATGGAAAAACACCCCGCTCCAAAGAGATAAGGCCTTCATGGAAAAGGGGGGAAAATGCACAAAAAATTAGAGAAAAACTCATTGAACACTGACAAACACATGTATATCATACTGTTATAGAGTATGGATAAAAATAAAAATAACTGAAAAATTAGTAAACATTTGCAACTCTGCTGTATATACTGTCTAATATAACCAATAAACAGAATGATGTGTAATAACAAGGCACATAATTCGCATAGTATTGGGGATTTTAGAATTTTCTCTTTCTCCCCCTTTTCTGGAGCACCCCTGTAGTCTAAGTTAAAAATAAAATAAAATTCACTGCTGAGGCCCTTTAAAACAAAGCACAAGTTAAATGAAATAATCAAATGGAAAAGAATGAGATCAATAGCAACTAACATGTGGTTATGTGACACGAAATGTCTGAAATTAGCTAAAGATGGCTGAATAAAAAATTTGATATAACATTGTTTGCTGTTCACTGGTTGCAATCTCAGAGCCACAGAAAGAAGGCACATATTTTTCAAGCTGTTTACTTCTAGCAGTGTATTGTTGGTCAAAGGAATAAACAACAAATATAAGCAGCCTATAAGATTTATCTTTATTTTTGGTCATATTCCAGGAAATCGGCATGTCTCTTACCAGCAGTACAAGAGATTAGCTGCAGCTTCTACTGCCTGGCCTGCCTTTCACAAGGTTGGTACACAGTAAATTAAACCAACAATGGCTTGTCTTAAATACAACTGGGGACGAAAAATGAGACTTCAATGTTAAACATAGTTATACCTAAAATTCATTTAAGATATGCTATGCACCACAAAGAAGACTGAGAGGTTTAATTATATCTCAAGCAAAATGGTGCTGTAGCATCTGACATTTGGAAGCCACATATGTAGATGGAGGTGGGGGCCAGGAGTAGTGGCTCATACCAATAGTCCCAGCACTTGTGGGAGGCCCAAGAGGAAGGATGGCTTTGAGGGTGGGAGTTCAAGACCAGACCTTATCTCTACCAAAAAAAAAAAAAAAAAATTAGCTGGCCATGGTGGTGTGCAGCTACTCCGGAGGGTGGCTGAGAGGATCCCTGGCAGCCCAGAGTTGGAGATTGCAGTGAGCTATGATCTGGTCCCTGCACTTCAGCTTGGGCAACAGAGACCCTGCCTCTGTCTCTTAAAAGGAGGAAGAAAGCACATTGTAACACACAGTAGGTATTTCTTTCTTAAAATTTGGCTCAAGGAATATTAAAAAAAAATCCCGCTGATTTGTATAAATTTCCCAGTAAATTGTGTATATTTGACCACAAATTGAAACTTAAGGAAAATATTTTCGTAACAGTAAGTACACTTTTGAAGCAAGAAGCACATTAAATACAAAGAGAGAAGTGAGACACATAAAAGATAGTAACTGGAAAAAAATGAGGTAAAAAAAAAAAGTGAGATGTTGGGGGGGGGGTGTGTAAACTTTAGAGACAAGGTCAGTGCCAATCAAGGACAGCACTTTCATCGTTAATGATCAGAACACAACCAAGGATAGGACGTCATCATCCACATTTCATTTAAGATAGCAGATTCTGAATTTTTTTGACTATGATCAGTAGAAGTACATTTTAAGGTGCAAATTGGTATGAACATGAATATACACAAATAAGAATGAAAAAACAATCCGAGGAATGTGGTTTTTATTTGCAATAAGCTTCACTATTTTCTATTCCAATGTCCTGTCAACACTAATGTTGAGGTTTAGTTACAATACAGTGAAGTGCACATCCTAACACGGTCTGACTGGGATCTGAGATCCCGCGTTTCCAACAAGCTCCTCGGTAATGCCAATGCTACCGCTTTGCAGAACCACTAGCAAAACTGCATTTTATTCTATTCTACTTCATTAGAGGAAAAAATGTTGATCTCGAGCCTCTTATCTGATTTCGTGACTGGCCAATTATCTCAAAACCAAAAAGGTATTAGAGCTCGCCCTGCGCTTTGAAACACACAGATTAAAAAAACTGAGACTACCTGAAGATCCCAATCTCTGGAGAGCATAATGATGAGAAAATAAAATATTCGAGCCATTTTTAAACACCCACAAATACCTCTAAAACAAAGACATTTATATTGCCAAACAATATCGATCTTAATTTTACTTCGTTAGACAAGACACCTGAAATCACCAAACGGTTCCAATGAGTCTGACAGAAGTGCTTGCACTCTGGAGCCCCAGGCTTCACTGCTCGCTTGTGTATACTGTACCCACTCAGGACAATCGCCCATCTCCACACAAGTATCAGAAGGCAACTGATAGAAAGAATTTAGAAGTTTTTATTAAGTCCTTTATGACTCCATTGACTCCAAAAATGAACCAAACAAAAATGAAACACAATCTTCAAAAATTCAAAACCTTTCCAAAATTCAAAAGACCATCTGATGTTCCCCACGTGTTGAGTCAATAAATACCTTTTTGCAGGTTTAGGTTTCCTTTTATATAAAAAGGAAACATATGGTTAGCCAAACAAATGATATAGAAATGTTAAAATCACCTAGATTTTCCTTTCTAGGCAGTAACATGTTGTCAACAAGATTTCTGCAGCCGCTTCCCTGCCCCATGATCCCAAAATGCACTATAAAACTCCAGACCTTGTAGTTAACAGGCTTGTACTTAAATAAATAACATCACTGTCAAGTTTGAAGACAATAAGGCTCACCATTCACAATATAACCCACTTGCATTAGTTAAAAGTTACACTGCTTCCACTGTACCCAGGGCAACATAGTGAGACTCTGTCTGGAAAAAACAAAAAAAGTTACACTGCTTCATTCAAGTAAGGATCTGCTAGCTAAAACAGCTCAAGGAGAAAGAAGAGGGTTGAAGAGATAAGGTGAGATCCTGGTTTAGAATGGACACTTGGCATCTATCCAATGAGTACTCATCCACTTCTTGCCTAATCTTATAAATTAGACCTCTGCCATCTATGTGTGAAAGAAGAGCCACAAACTCCAAAGAATTGTAGCGACTGATGTAATTACTTTGTCAGCTGTTCTTTTGAAATGTGCCTGGTTCACCTTTTTTAAGTTGCAAAAGAATGAAAATATAAAGTCACAAAGTACAAATCCATGATCCAGCTGTCTTCACCTATGACCTTCCTCTCCCCTTCCAAAAGTCAACAGCTATAGTTATGCATTGAAGTGGGTTGGGAGTGTGAACAGAGGGAAGAGAAATGGGAATGGGAATGTATGCTCAATGAAACACTGTCTGTATTAAATAAACAGCTCAAATTACTACAGTCAAGCCTGAAAAATTGTGTTTTCCAATCACTATTAAGTTTCAGTAGGCTTAACAATCCTGCCATATAAATTGTGTTCAATTTGTCACCTTTTGAGCTGCATTCTGCTTGAAAAACCTCAAGAAAAACTGGTCAAGAGACTAAAAATCCAGAAATATTATAGATTTATTTATAGACCACCATGTAATGACCGGGCCATTAGTTCTCAAAGGGTTTCTTCCAGAAACACTCAGAAAATAGGAAGAAATTATGTCTTATATCATAATGCTATGTAAATTATTAAATTCCGATCCATATTGTTGAATGCCATGTAATACCACAAAATCTTTGGTCTTACTGGATGAAAAGGTGAATGTAAAGATTGTTTTTAATGAAAGGAAAAAAGTAAAATTAGATTTGATTTGAAATCCTCTATGATCTGAGACTCTACTGCTGAAATGTATATGATTCTATTTAATCATTTTCAGAGTTAAAGAAGAGTCTAATAGACAAATTTGATAAACATACTGTACATATCCTATTTTT